GAGAAAAAAACCTCCAAAACCAACAAAAAAAGGCAGCAAAACCGAAAACCGCATGCAAACCTGACAAAACTGCTACATTTTCACCTTAAAAGAGGTCAAAAAGGAAAAACTGAAAGCCGCATCAGAGTTTTCGTGAAAATCGAAAACCAAATGCAAAAACACATAAAATCCGCAAACCGCTCTGAACATCAAAACCGAAAAACTGAACCTTTTTGGCTCAAAAAACCAAAAAACCAATCCAAAAAAACAGTCTTGGAAAACCGCAAAACCGAAAAACCCAAAGCCTCCCTCATAAAGTAATTACCACACTGACTTTGAGTTATCCATCTCCTTGCAAACTAGCTTGAACTTTTTCCTCCTGGGTTTATTTGCTTAACCATTAGACATTTGCATTATTTCTCTTATGATTTGAGTAAAATTTAACAATCCATAACTGATTGTTTTTCATGTACCTTACTTAGCTCCTGAGCTGCCTGTCTATGAAAGAAGAAATTGGCTTATTCATCTACATTATATCAGAAAGGAATTTGAAGCCTGCAAGGTGAGAAAGGTTTTTTCACAATTTAACATTGTGATAAATCTGAGCTTAAAGAAAAATCCATTTTGTTTTTTTGCAATAACTTTTATTGTGTTTTGTTGTAGTCTCTAATAAAAGATCAGCTTGATGAAACTCAGGGAATGTGTGAATATGCTTTGTATGTGAAAGGTAATACTAATGTTTTACATATTACGCTGAATTAAATGCAAACAACAAGCTACAGAAAAGGGCTAATTGCACATCAATTTATATTCATTTGTGAATGTGAGTTAGTTGTATGACCAGCTACATGTTGAATTTGAATCTTTAGCCCACCCCATGGATATATCTTGCTAAATAGAGTTTATTTTAACACTTTCTTAAAGCACCTGACATCCATGTGGTAGGCTTAAGATAGCTCAAATTTCAACATTCCGACTAGGTAACGTGTAATTGATCATAGTAAAATGGGAAATAAGAATGAAAATCAGGGGAATTTAGCTTTGGACATTCTTGGATGGTTCTTCTTGTCCATTGTTTCCAGGTTGAGTTGAAAATTAGTTAGGGTTGTGGGCTAAGTTAAAATGGAACTTTATGGGACAAATGACTTGAAGTGAACCCAGTTTCCTTTTTTACCATTTGCGGATTCAAGACTATGGATATTACACAGTGTGAAAAATGTTGCTGATTGTCCAAATCTCATTTTATTAGTGTAATCAATATTTTTTTAAAAAAGGGAGATTTAATGGGAGAATCTTATGTCCTGGACAAATTTTGGGCCTCTTTTTCAGCATTAATTCTTCGTCAAGAGGGTCAAATCCAGGAATCATTGGATCTCTTCCAGAGGACTGTTCAAATCAATCCTCAAAGCGCTGACAACCTTAAGCAAGTTGCAAGATCTCTGTGAGTGTTTATTTTTTTCTGGGCTAAAGGGTAATCAGCTTCATTACTGTGGTACCTTTGTAGATTTACCTGGTCAAAAAAAAAAAGACATCCACTTTAACCCCATGACCCGTAAGAGTGACAAGCTTCTATTGGTACATGTGTTGGATTTTTTTTTTTTTATTTTTCAGTTTCCTTCTTGCCCGACACAAGGCTGCTCTTGAAGTGTTCAATGAAGCTGCAAAACTTAGCACCAAGGACTGGGTATGCTAAGCAACATTTATCTTGTTACCCAATTTTTGAATGCAGAGATTAATTTGTAAAGAGGAAATGCTTTATTAAATATTAAGTAATTTTTTAAACTTCTTTTCAATACAGGAAATTTATCACAACCAAGGTGAGTGCTTTAGGATTGAGTTTCACATCTCACAAGTCCACCACTAAACTCGGGTATTTTTTCATGACAGCCACTTTACTTTCTCACTTTTAGGTGTTTGCTATGTTTATATGAAAGATTTTGAAAAGGTTAGTTAAAATAATCTTTGATAAATTACTAACAACCAGACTTTTATTATTACTGACATCATATCTACTATGAGGAAGCTAAAAATATTTATTTTAGTTTTTTTTTTCTAATCACTTTCCATGTATGGTATAGTTAAGTGCTTGCTACAATTATAGTTGCAACCTAAGTTTTTATAGCGTGAATAATGTGAATGTAATTGTAGGCGAAAGATTGTCTGAAGCATGCCTTGCAGTATCACCGTCATGATGCATCCTTCATACAGTTAGGAAAAGTTTTACTCTTAGAGGGAGACACAGAATCTGCCATTGATGTTTTCAAGAAAGCTATAGAGTGAGTATTTTCTAATGAGGATCAGCCCTTTCTCTTGCAAGATCTTATTAGTAACTCTTCCTACTGACTGCCATACATTCTTATAATTGATTACGTAGTTCTGAGATATATCTTATTAACCAAGCGCGAGGGCCGTACTGGGAGAATATCGGCCCGAGGTCTTGACAGTACGGACCGAGCGCTGCGAGGTCCATACAATAAAGACCGAGGGTCGATATTCTTCCAGTACGGTCCCGAGCAAGCTTGGTTAATAAAAGATTTATTATACGACTGAAGTTCAAAGGGACACAAATGTGGTATCATTCGGGACCATTCGGGACAGTGCCCGGTCCAATACTTAGAGAATATTGGACCGGCAATAGAGCATTTTGATTGGTTGATTTTAGTTATTGGCCCTCTGACTGCCCGAGTCGTGTAATAAAATTAAGTATTGGATCAAGGAAAAATCTCCTAGTTTATATTTTTCTTTATTCTCATCACTTGAATGCTTGATATTTTATTAATATTGTAGTGACAAAGTAAGTCTTGGTCACAAATGAGAGTGAAGGGGCTAATTTAACAGGATACATACTATGTTTTCAGCATAAGAGCAACATTGATTCTTTAACAGCTCAGATTAATCTCTATTACTGGTTAGAGTACATGATCTTGAACTAATTTTTGAGAAGTCTAAGCAGTAGTTAGATTATGAAGGACAAGTATCTTATCCAGTGCCCCAGCAGGGGTGGGAAGGAGCAACCCACAGCAACATTCCCGAAAAAAGGTGTCACTGTCAGGAAAGTATGACTGAGTGATTGAAATGTCAGAGCGGCGACCTCGTTGTTATTTGTCCACAATCTTGTCAATAGCCCATTAGTTTTCCTCGTGTTTTCATTTTTATTTTAACAATTTTATTATGAATGATTAAGCCTTCTTTACACCATCCCAACCCCACTCCTTAGGGGTCTGGCTTCTAATTTCTCCTTACAGTATCGCCTTTAAATTAAATCTAAAGGTCATGAGAATTAAGGAAATGATCACCAATTTAAGAAGCAGGGCTCGAAAAAGCCCCCCTCCGGTCGTCCGGGACAAGTAGATTTTCCCTTCGGGCAAGTAACTTTCTCTCCTTCGTTGCCCGTCGGGCAAGGACCCAGCGGGCTAGCCTTTCGCCGACTAAATTTTTGATAACGATTTTGAGAAGAAAAGGTAAGCTTTAGGCCCAAGGGTAATGAAGTGTTTAGATGAAGCTTGACGAAAATTACAATTTATAGCGTTGTTTTGTTGATTGCGTGACGCGCGCTCACGGCTCAGAAGTGGTGAAAAAAAAAAAAAAAAAAAAAAAAAAAT